TTCAGACAAGGGCTGAGAAGGAAGGGGAGCTGTGTGCTCTCCACACGTCTCGTGTGATCTGCAGAGTTGGGCAGAGGAACAGGGCTGTTCTCACCAGCTCCATGTTCACTTCTCCGAACACAATGCCCTTCAAATTGGGAAGTGTTCCTCTCACCAAAGTGGAAGCCGAGCTGCTCAAAAACAATTCAAGACTACACTATTGGTTCTCCAAAGCCACAGGTTTCTAATCCACAGACTCAATCAACCAAGGATTGAAAATATTTGAAAAATATTCTGCACAGTCACTCCCTGAAAAATATAGCATGACAGCTATTTATATGGCATTCACATTGTATGAGTTACAAGTGAACCAGAGATGATTTAAAGTAGATAGGATAGGGCTGGGGATTTAGCTCAGTACCACAGTGCCTGCCTGGCAAGTGTTAGATTGTGAGTTCGATTTTTGGTACAATAAATAAATAAATAAATAAATAAATAAATACAGTCCATAGGAGGATAGGTTAGGATATATCCATACACTATGCCCTGTTACAGAAGGGACTTACACATCCATGGCATTTGGTATCTGCAGAATATCCTGGAATCACCTGTTACCAATACTGAGTGACAACTCTAGTTTAATTGCAAGAGGGGAAATCCCAGGCAGGCCTAGAAATTTGCAATACTGTAAACAGCTTTAAGGCTATTACTGAATTCTTCAGCTGTTAGAAGGATAAAATGTGCAAGAGGCATGAGACTTACTCTTCCTGTATCGGGTAGGGGGCAACTCTAGGATCAACCCTAGGGCAACTCGGGTGAGATGAACAGGCAAAGACATTTCAGCTTACGCTCACAGGTTGGTGGCTCTGTGTCCCAGCTGGCAGTATCTCCCGAGACGATACACTCAGCAGACGACTTACCAATGAGTCGGTACCTAAAGGACAGACACGAAAACCATGATGCTGTGCACCTGGCCTCAGCTTCCTCGTTAGCTGTGGTGTCTGGCAAACCCGAAAGACAGCAGTGCAGGAGGGTGTAAAGGCGGGGCCAGACTACCCGGTGTGCCAGCTTCCGTGTCTCCCTCCTACCTTGTCCCTGGTGAAGTGGGTATTTTTTCCCTAACTCCTCATTGACTATATTCTCCTTCTTCCTTTTTTGGCTTCACTGTGGGTTGTACCAGGTAGAAAAAGAAAACAAGCTTTCTGTACATGTTTGATAATTTTTTTTTTCAGTTTTGTGTGTGTGTGTGAGGGGGGATGCAGCAGTGTTCAGGTGCAGTATTTTTACAATATTTAGTATTTGTTTTTTTGGTACCAGAAATCGAACTCAAATACTTGTGTTTGCCAGGCGGGTGCTGTGTTGATCAGCTATATCTCTGACCCCAACATTTAGTATTTGCTACCCTGTTTGAGACCTGTTTTTTGGAAGGACCACAGATTTGCTATTTTTGAGACTACTTCGAAGTTTCTGTCTTTAGCAAGGGATATTAGGTCAAATTTACTGAAATCCGTATGTCCGGTCCACTTCGTCATTCTTTCCTTTGCCACTTTTATGGGTTTCACAATGTGCAATGAAGCAATGAACACATCCGGCCTGCCTGAGCACCGCGGGTTTACTGCTGATACAGGAGACAGACAGGACCTTTGCTGTTCCTTCTCTTTCCTCTTGCTGCTGTGTGGATCAAGTACGTTCAGCTCTTTGATTTCTTCCAATAAATTGGAAGTTAATATCCTATTTTTCCCGTGTCATACGTGTGCATAGGAAATAATTGTGACATCCACTTCTATATCTATCTCATATATACTTAAACCTACTTTCTCAATTTTAGTGTTAAAGCATGTATAATCTACCTGCTCCAAATAATATAACTGTAGCCTGTGTTTTCTGCTTCCTCCCATTTTCTACTTACACTGTGTTTTCTGTAACTCTAGGGAGTGTTAGTAAATTTTGATTATACTATAATGATTCACTCTAACAGAAGTAGTTCTGCCTCAGTATCCAACTTCATAACTTTGTTAAAAATAACTATTCTTGGCCATTTCAACATCAACAGTATTTCCTTTGACAGTCACCTGACTTTTTTATAACCTCCTTTACAGACTGCCTGGATTTACCTTTTTCTTTGGAAGCGCTCTCCCACAGTAAGATCTGGGGCCTTAGTTCATGAGTCCCAGGTACTGGAAGCCTCTAGATGTGAACCCTAGCTCAGCTCCTTGGACTTGGCGTCCTCCACATCTCAGTGTTGTAGGGGAGCCATGTGGTGTTGAGGAGAGTGTGTTTCTCTTGGGAGTATTATATATTAAAGTTTTGTTTGTGGATTATAAAGGATTTTCCCTATTCCTAACATACATAATTTTCCACAGACATGGCTAAGCAAGGCCTTAGTTTATTTATCTTTCCAAAATTTTTTGTGACATGCATTTTAGATTCTATTACCGTATTATATATGCTTTCTCTTTTCTTTTTTCTTTATCCTTTTCTGCTGAGTTCAGGGAGAATTTAATTACTATTGTTCTCTAATTTTCTATAATATATAATAATAAACATCTTAGATATATGTAAGGTATAATTAAAATCTAGTGAATGATTTACAATTTACAAATTTACTGCAGTAACAGACAGGTGGCCGCTAATCTATGTCAAAATACTCCTCCCATCTTCAGACTCATTCATCCCATCATTCTTGTGACTTTCTGAAGCAGCTCAGTGCCTTTTTGTGGCTACCTCCATGTCTGAACTGATTCAATGTTTACGGCAATTTCTGTCAAATAAAAATATTACAGTACATCCTTGTCCTTCTCCACCTTGTTCACCAGATCTGGGACCACTTGCCCAAAGTCAAAATGGCCATGAAAGATGAGCATTGTAAATCACTACAGGCCATCAATGCAGCCACAACACTGCAATTCTCTCTCTCTCTCCCTCTTCTTTTTGAGACAGGGTCTCACTTTGCATTCCACACTGGCCTTGATCTCACTATGTACCACAGGTTGGCCTCAGACTTGCACCAATCTTCTTGCCTCAGCCTCCTGACTGCTGGGATTACAGGTGTGCACCACAATGCATAGCTCTCACTTCTTTTGTTTTTTTTTGTTTGTTTGTTTGTTTTTGAGACAAAGTCTTATTATGTTGCCCTGAGTGGCTTCAAACTCACAGTGATCCTCCTGTCTCAGCCTCTCCAGTGCTGGGATTAGTGATGTGTGCCAGCACTCCCAGCCTTGGCTCTCTCTTTTTCAGGCTACTCCAATCCTTCTTTCTTTGGATAACTTTTTATTCTCAATTTTAATGTATAAATGGCCAGGCAGACTCACACTCACCCTTCATCACAAGTAAAGGACACTCTCGCTCCAGGCTGGAGGTGAGGCGGAGACAGCACATGACCATTGGGGAGTTGGTCTGGGAACACATCACATCCTCTCACTAGGAGATAAAACAGAACAGGAGTGAGGTTGCCACAGGAAGGGTAAGGAGCGTGATCTGAAAACCAGCCCAGTGTCTGCGCACCTTCACATGAGGGCGCTGCGGGGCTCCAGTCCCCCTGGGGTGTGCAGCGCAGAGAGGCAGCCCCCTGGAGGTCGTAGCCTGGCTCGCAGCTGTAGGACACTTCCTGCCCGGGGGAGAAGTCCTGGTTGCTTGGGGTGTGCTGACCATGCAGGATTTTGGGGGGTGGCTGACACTCTGTGGGAAGAACAGGCCCAAAGTTCCTGTTAGTTTAGGGGCAATGCTCAAGAAGCCAGAACCTTCCACGGAGTTAGCGAATCCTGCTTCTCAGTGTACTCTGGATCTGCACTGTTCCCTAAAGGCTCATGTACTGAAGGTTTGCTTTCTGGCCCAGTGCACTGTGGGGAAGCACTGGGGCCTTTCACATGCAGGGTCTAGAGCAGAGTTTTAGGTCACTAGGGCTTCGTCCTATAGGCATTGTGAGATCCTGCTCTTTCCTTTTCTCACTTACACTCCAGAGGGTGAACAATTTGCCCTGCCACATGCTCGCCATCATGAATGAGCTGCCGCCTTGTCACAGGCCCAAAGGCAATGTGTCAGCTGATCATGAGCTCAAAGCTCCATGACTGTGAGTCCAAATAAGCCTTTCCTTACCCCACAGGTTGGTTTATCTTAGGAATTTGTTATAAGAATGGAAATCGGAGTAACACAAAGGGGCTTAGGCAGAACAGGGAGGGAACACAGGTGACACTCCACCTGCCTTGATTTTACTTGGTGAGAAGTAAGAATAGGGAAAAAACAGAGCCAAAGGTGCACAGCTGGTAACAGAAGCAGAGGACTAGAACCCAGTTCTCCCAGCCCTCATCTCAATGCACACATCTCAATCCACAGGGCATAATGAGAGGGCCTATTGGACTCAGGGTCGCCTTGATTTATTTTTGGTGGGAGTTTATGGCATCTGAATACATTTTAACATTAGCTTAATCCATGTCTAGTTAGAGATGACGAGAAAATTGGCTTGGCTCTGAGCAACTTAGGAAAGATGCCTTTGACTTGAGATTCCCTGTGATGAGATGTAGGAAGTACACCATGAAAGACAGATGCTCAGGTCTTCTTCACTCATTCTGACCCATATCTGGCTTCCTAAGATCGGTTCTTTGTGCACTGACAGAACTAGGGCAAGAACTGAGCACTCAGGCCCACGCTCTGACACACTTGCTTTGTAAGCCCTGGGTTTGTCGTTTTGGCACCTGACTTGGGCAACTCATCGAACCTCTGAGAGGCCAAGATAACCTCACAGCACATGAATATAACAGTAGCCCTATTTCAAAGAGTTGTAATAAAGTGAAAGAGAGGATGAATACAAAGTGTTCACCATGTGGCTGCCAGAAAGTCCACAGCACGCTTCACTAACACAGATAATGCAGCTGGCACCGCCCCAGTTACTCAGTGAACAGTCCCCAGCAGCTCCCTTCTTGGCTATGGGAGCTCTCCTCCAAGTGAAGATGCACACTCACAAGTGTGCGTGCACACACATGAACACAGCCTCTCTTCTCTGACTCCCTGATCCCACCTGCTCACCACACCTCTGCAACAACCAACAGTGCTCTCCTGGTCCCCACCAACTCTGCCCCCTGTGGGCCCCTCCCCAGTCACAGAGGGACTCACCCAAGGAGCAGCTTGGTAACTCTGGCCCCCACTTGTTTGGGGCCTGGCACTGCACCCTGGAGGGGCCGCTCATGATGAAGCCAGGCTCACACGTAAACTCCACAATTTCATTCAAGGAAAATACGCTTCTGTGTTCAGATACCATGACTGCGTTTTCAACGAGTGGAGCTGTGCACGTAGCAGGCACAATGCACTGAGGGGCAGGGCCGCTCCAGATGCCGACCCGGCCGTCACTGCTGGTGCAGGAGATGTTGGGCTTGCCCACGAGCTCAAAGACCTTTGTGCCTCTTGCTCCAAGATGGCAGCGATAGGTCACCACCGTTCCATATACAAAACTGTCTCGGTTGACGCTCAAGAAATCTCCATTGGCGATGGCTGGGGGTGGCTCACAAGTAATCTCTACAATGGAGATAGTAAATTAATAAAAGTCCATTTTCCTAAAGTTGTATTTCTTTTAAAAAGTTTGGTAATCAAACTTAAAATAAAACCCCAAGTTACCACAGGTATTCCCAGTACCCTTCTCATCTGATCTTTGCCAATATATACACACACTTCAGAGCAGTTGCTCATGGGTAACCAGAGCATTATGGGACGTGCTCTTCTCATTTCACACTACTGCACTAAATATATCTGTATCTCATTATCTCACACGTTTACCTGTCAGTTTAAATGAGAACTTAGCTGTGTTTTTTCAGCACTGTAATTCACTTCTCTCTCTACTGAAAGCACTTGCTGTTATTCTGCTGCTCACTAGTGAAGTATACAGCACAGCACCTTTATCCGGAATGTAAGAACAAAATGCTCCTGCAGAACTAATTAAAGCAGGCAACTCACAGGATATATTCCATATAATAGACACAGTGACTGAGGATTCAGATGTATTAAAAACAGAGTACTGTATCCCACTTCAGCAAATTTGAAAGCGAACTTATTAGAAATAAAGATATATTTTGCCCGTGTTAACTCAAGAAAAGGTAGAAATTTTAATACCTCACCAATGCAGAAGAAATGGGAAAATGTATTGTAAATGCTAGTCCTGAAAAGATATGAAGCAAAGCTAATTTTAAAGGCAAATTTAATTGTTATCTAATAGCCCACTGCTAGGCATTTTAATTGTAGAACATATGAAATGTTTCTATTATTTTGGCAGATATACATTAGTAGGAACTTATTTATTTCTTTGAAATGAAATAAGAAAATATTTAAGAAGATGCCTATTTTTTAGAGAAATTTTATAAAATATAGATGGATAAAATCTATGTTTAAGGCTATTATCCATGAAGAACCACTGCTAAACGTTTAATGTGAAATTTTTCACACACATACTCAGGAAAGCCCCTCACAAAACACTTTTCTAAAATATCTTGGGCTGAGCCATATTCAGCATGAGGATATTCTATCCAGTGCCACTGG